GGGTTTAATCCCCAGTCCTGCAAAAACAAAAGTAAAAACAATCTTCTCTGGGAAGAACACTATTCTGTGTTCTGCTTGCCTCTTGTGATGTCACTTCTTGGCTCACTGTTCCCCTGAGACCACTTAGGCAAACTCCCAATCCATCTTATCTCTAGATTTACTCAATAGTCTCCCTGCAGGGTTGGCAGTCAACTTCCTATAATGAGAAGCTGTGTCAGTTTTAACGTTTGATCTGTGCTTACTTTGAGTGACAGCTGGATGAAGAGAAAAAATTGAGGTTAAATCTCCTGTGTACCAATTCAGCCACTCTCCTCTTTACCCAGCAAACCCAAATTTCTCTCCTGAATTTTTTTTTTTTTTAATCAAACCCTCAGTTATCTTGGGTATCAAGAAACCAAGCAAAACAATAGTTTTTGGAGGTATTCTATCAGTAAAAATCAGGAAGTATGAGCTAAAAACCTAAGCCAATCAGAAGCTGAGGAATTAAACACTAAATCCTGTATCCTTTCAAGCTATCTTGCCTTCCAGCCTATAAAAATATTTTTTTAGGATAAAAACTCAAAGAAAACCATTTCTTTTACTGTGTGAATACCATCTCCTTTGGAAATTTCAGGGATTTTTCCTTGTTTGAAATAATATTGTTTGTGTTGAGGTAACTGTGTTACCTCTACTGCATCCTCAATAATCTCTGAGGTTTAGGTTTATATGCTCTCCTTTAATTGGATGAACCTTCCCAGGTCATTGTTAAGACTAGCCCTAGAAGACAATAAAAAGGGGGGGAAAAAAAGGAAAAGAAAAGAAAAACAATCCCAAGGTTTCCACATTGCTCCAAAAGTCAGGTAGAAGCTGGAGGTTACTCTTAGAGGTGGTGAAGAAAGGTCTAGGATTAGCTTGGAAGCTCTCTTTTCTCTGATATCTGGATTTAGGTGAATTGTCTACTGCTTTGTCTATTGGATTACTCATCACCTGCACATTTTTATAAAAGGTCACCCAAAGAGTAATTGATGACAAGGAATCTTAACATGCCCAAAAAGATGGTAACAGACTGTGATATTTGTTTTTAGTTTCTCCTGGCAGGTAGAAGTGCGAGTGTCATTCATCAGGCTCCTGATGGCTATCTGTAGGGAACATGTGCAGGAAGCCTGGAGGGGCAGGAATTGGTGTGGCAGTCACAAGTGTGAACACCACAGTGTTACCTTTTTCCACATGTTCTCATCTGTGGAAAAATTAACTTCAGCTGCTTGAAAACCCTGTAGAATCTGCCTCTTAATATCCAGGGGACTGTGGGCTTTCTCTGGTTGTCTCTTGATAGTGATTACCTGTCTTTTGTGTTTTTCAGTTTTTAAGTGTTTGCGTTTTCTGTCACCCTCCTCATTAGAGGCGATACAGTACACACAGCCACGCTATATATTCACATATCTGTCTGAGAACTTTCTTGGGTGTGATGCCAAGGCATAAAGAACCTCATTGTACTTCTAGAACATTCTAAATGAAAAAGGTGAATTACATGTTATTCTTGAGTTAATCAATGGAAATGATTCACATGCTTTGATACATGTAGTTGCCAAGATCCATACCTGGTTTTAAAACATTCTAATTTCCTCCATTTTAGTGAGGAAAAAAACTCATTTCTTTATTATAGAGGCAGTTACCAGAGTCTACACAGCAAAATTTAAATCTAAAAATATTGTTAAATCTTTTCCAACAAATAAGGTATTTACAAAGAAGAAACTGGATGGAGACAAGAAAGAAAGATATTTTCATGTGAGAGCCCACATTTCAGGAAAAACAAAGCCAGAAAACAGACCTGATTTAATTGTAAGAAAGTTAAGCAGGCCTCAGTCTGTGCACATCGTATGGAAATAGGCTTATATTTCAGTAGGATGAGGAAAAAGAAAACACAAAGCAGGCGAGTTTGATTTTTAAATGAGTCGCTTTTTCCATACCCAAGAGAATATGTGGGAAGTTCATCTTTGGAGAGACTATCCAGAATGGGTCTCCTGAATGCATGATGTCATTTGAAGGCTCTTATGCCCAGAAGCAGCAAGAGAAATTAAATGTTTTCCTAAATTATTGTTTCATTTGGTTGTATGTGAGCTCAATTTCCTAGATTAAAGGGCCATAAGATAACAGTGGTAACCGCTGGGCTCCCACTAAGAAGACTTCCAGAAATAAATGAGTTCCGAAATGATGTTAGAGAAATACATACACTATCTTATTCACAGTTAGTACCCATGGGGCCAGAGCATGATGGGTGCTTGATAAACTGAGTGGAACTGAGTTCTTCATATTTCTGAATGTGATGGCCTTGGCCTGTCCTGAGTTCTGATTTCTACTCTGACATCCTCTAGCCAAGAGACCTTGGGCAAGTTATCACTCTGATAGTAAAATTAAATATGATAATTAAGAGGAAATACACTCTTAAAATATCAGCTCCTCCCACTTTCCTTCTCTTCATTTTTAAGTTGTCAGGATGCTATATTGACTATTAATGCTGGTTAGAGTAGTAAGTTAACTTCTTTCTCTACATCCTCTCCAGGGCCCTGTATGCAGTTGGCTCTTAAATACATCAGCTTCTTGGCATTTGCTAGTGTGAAGTTCAGTCTCAGTTACACACAGGTATTTGACATATCACCATTTACAGGTTTCCTAGGCTGTGAGTTTTAATCCACACAGGTCCTGTAAGGCTGATCTTACAAGGTTAGTGAGTGTACATGCCAACACCCCAGCTTCTCAGGTTCACTCCAATACTCTTGAAGCCTTTTTATATATTAAGTAATTCTTTTTTTTTTTTTTTTGTACCAGAAATTGAACTTAGAGCTACATCTCCAGCCCTTTTTATTTTTTGAGACAGAATCTTGCTAAAGTTGCCCAGTCCAGCCTGGAACTTGCAATCTTCCTTTCTGCCTAAGCCTTCTGAGTAGCTGGGATTACAGGCATGCACCACCATGCTCAGCTTATATATAAAGTAATTCTTGAGAGATAATTAAAATTTAGTTTCTTTTAGGACTGGGGTTGTAGCTCAGTAATATAGCACTTGCGTAATGTGGATGAGGCCTTGGGTTTGATCCCTAGTGCCACCAAAAAAAAAAAAAAAATAGCTGCCTCTTTGGGGAGGGGAGCCTTCAAGTAAGAGGAAAAAAACTTTGGATAATGTTGACCAAAAAAAATAGTCATTGGTAGTGTGGGATATGCATTGAGTGTATGGGATATGACTCTCCCTGAAGATCAGGTACAAATGTGTAATTACAGGAGAGGAAAAGTGTCAGGAATTCCAGATTTCTAAATTTCAGGATTCTCCAAGAACTCCAAGTATATGAGGACATTAAATATATACTATATACTTTTTTTTTTAATGATTTCCTCATCTCAAATGGGACATGTCTCCACCTTAAAAAAATAAACAAACAAACATATGTTCAGTCCAGTGGTGTTTAACCAGAGCTATGCCACAGAATCATCTTGGGTACTTGTTAAAAAATACATACAGGGCATCAGGCATGATTGTACATGCCTCTAATTCCAGCTACTCAGAAGGATTGCAGGTTTGAGGCCAGCCTGGAAACTTAGACCCTATCTCAAAATAAAATTTTAAGGAGGCCTTTTCAGTGGTAGAGTGCTTGCCCAGCACACATGAGGCACTGGGTTCAATTCCCAATATGGTGTTGGGAGGATAGGAAGATTCCACTCCAGACCTACTAAAAGAGAATCTCCAGGATTTAGATTAGGACGAAAAAGTGTACAAGGGGATGGGGTTATAGCTCAGTGTTGGAGCGCTTGCCTCACACATGTGAGGCACTAGGTTCAATCCTCAGCACCACATAAAATAAATAAATAAAATAAAGGTATGTGTCCGTCTCCAAATCAGTGCCACTGAGTAATTCTTAAGTAGTTCAAGGATTTATTATTAGTTTTGTGACATTTTTGTCACATTTCTGCATCTCTTCTTTCTTCTTTTATCCGTCCTGGGAGTTTTTGTTATTCCTTAACACCTCAAAAGAGGAAATAAATAAATACATTCAAATCAAGTAAGTGTTTATTTGCCTAAGTTCTTTTAAAAAAAAAAAAAGTGAAGGGATAGGAGGGGAAAGGCCATCTATGATAAAAATAAATAAATAAATGGGAAACACAGACATAGTCACTTTTTATTGGTTTATTTACAGTGACCAAGATCATAGTTTACATATTAAACTCCTTCCTTCTGAGTCCTCAAAGTACTTTCTTTTTTTTTTTTTTTTAACCAGCATTCTAGAGACTAGGATGGAACTCTTCTTCCCTTTCTAATTTTCTCACTTATCTACCTTCACTATAGATCTAGGTGAAAACCAGAAAACTGTCCCAAGTTTAACATTTATAAATTTATTCTGGGAAGGTTTGGGGGTCTGTGAACTGAAAGAAATTAACAGTCTGAATATTGAGATTAGAAATGATCAAAAATGTCACACAGAAAATCAGTGATAGCCACTCCTAAAACACTGGTTGGCTGGCTTATTGGAGGCGGGGGTGTCAATTTTTGATCATTTTACATTTTGCTGACTTCTAGTTTTAAAAGATACTATGTCCCTGCTGAGAGCAGTGGCACATGCCCATAATCTCAGCAACTTGAGAAGACTGAGGTGGGGAGAATCACAGGTTTGAGGCCAAACTCGGCAATTTGGTGAGATGCTGTCTCAGAATGAAATAAAAATGAATAGCTCAGTGATAGAGTACCCCTGGGTTCAACCCTAGCCCTGAAAAGAAAAAAAAGATGCTATATCTCTAAGCCTCAGGTCTGCTGAGTCATGGAATACCAAATGTGAGCTCGAGCTAAGTAGCCTTTGTGCAGTTGGTTGAATTGCTTTTCTTAAATTGCAACCCCATCTCCAGCTGTGAAGTTGAGACATCTGATTTGAAAAAGTGCATTTATAAATGGAAATAAAAATAAGTCCCTTTGCTAATGCTGTTTTCTTTTTTCCTTTTTTTTTTTTTTTATTGTTTTTGTTTTTGTTTCCTTTCTCTAGCATGAAAGACTTTCTAGGTAAGAACTCTCTCTGTTTTATATGCATGTTTAATAATTATGAGTAAATATATGTCTAATTAAATTTAGATTTATATAGTGGTTTAGTAATTTCCCCACATCATTTTCTTCCTTTTCATTTCCACATCCATCACAATAATTTCTAACGTTTATTATTTCCTGCCAAAGTAATAGAACAGCTTTCAGTTCGCCTTCCTGCCACCAGTCTCCTTTTTCCAGTTCACCTTGTGTACTACCACTAGATTAATTTCCTAAAGCGCCTGTACCAGGCACTGTGCTAGGCAGTAGGGAAACAATACAAATAAGACAATATCCTTACCTACAATTAGCTTACAAACCACTGGAGAGACAGATGATTTCAATAGAATGTAGAAAATGCCATTTAGAAGTATGGTCAGGTAATGTGAGAGTAAAAAAAAAAAAAAGAGGCAGTTAACTTTATCTGGTGGTGTAGGGAAGGCTTCATTGCATAGTGGAAACCTGAATGGAGATTGAGGTTAGATGCCGTCACTAACAGTGAGTCCAGCTTTATCCCTTGTATCTAAATGGTGCTCAGCAGCAGTTTGTCAAATTAACTAAAGACTTGTTTTGCAGTTGCAGAAACATTAAGGGAAGGTATCCATTTAGAGGATGATCCTCTGAAATTTTTCAACTAATAAGAAGGTTATAAAAACCGATCTTGCTAGCCAAGTGCAAAGTTGTATGCCTGTAATCCCAGCAACTCAGGAGACTGAGTCAAGAGGATGGCAAGTTCGAGGTTAATCTCAGCAATTTAGTGAGATAATCAACAGCTTAGCAAGACCCTGTCTCAAAATATAAACATTTTAAAAAGGACTAAAAATGTAGATCAGTGGTAAAGTGCTCCTGGGTTTAATCCCCAGCACCAAAAAAATAATAATAAACCAAAAACTGATCTTTTGGAAGAAGAAAATAATAGCAATTATGGAGATACACATTTGAATCTCTCCTTTCCACTATTCCTCTGATGGAGAAATTAAGAAGAGACTGGGGGAAGATGAAGATATAAGACAACACAGGGCAAATGAGTCTTCTCATAATTTGCTTGGTGATGGAGCTGGTTCTCCCTTAATAATGTATGTTAAGTTTTATGTGTATTCTTTTTTTGCTCGCCCTCTCACCAGCACCAGCCAAGGATAAGTAATTTACTTCTAACCTAGCAGAAGCTTACTCAGCTTTACAGAATTGGTAGAGTGGCATTTTGTCGTGGTATTTTGTTATAGTTAATCTTTTATGAACTCTGTTGTGTTATTAATAGCCATTCATGAAAGGAGACTTTGCCTATAGATTTCAAATATGCTATGAAATTGCAATGATTGGAACAGTGAGGTACCGGTCTAAAAATAAACAAAGATATGATGGAACACAATCTATAATCCCCACAAAGTCATGTGTATGAGGTGGCTTTTCATCTCATTGGGGAAACAATTATTCATTAAGTGATCATTGAGATAATTGACTATTTGGGAACTATATCTTTCCTCCCTTCCCAAAAAAAACAATTTCAGATGGGTTATAATTTTTAGAGAAAAAAGCTTTCCAACAAAAAAAGTAAAATATTTTATAATTTTATATAGGAAAGACCTTCCTAAGCATTATATGATAAAAGTAAAAATCGGCAAATATAATCACGTAAAATTTTAAGTCTCTGCAGTAAAAGATACTATAGAAACAAAAAGCAAAATAGAAAAAAAAATTTAAGCTATGTTAGTTTTAAAAACCCTACCATGTTGGAGGCTCCACCAATAACAAGAAGATGATGAAGATTCTGCTAAATAAAGGCCACAAAGTGGGTAATTCCAAAACAAAGAAGATGAATAACCAAAAATATTGAACCTCCCGAATATTAAAATCAATTCCTCAAGAGACTGAGGCCAGAGGATCACAACTTTGAGGCCAGTCTGGGCCAGAACAAACAATATGTGGCTATCAATTAAAGATTAATTAAATTATCAGAAAACCATGGAAAGGACTGTGCAGTCATTTTTATGAGACAAATTTATTTTTTCTTAGCTGATACCCACAATCATAATAATAAGTGTAGGAAGGAAGAGGAATTAGACAATAGGCAGTATCTAATTTTATTTACAGAAATATATATTTTAACATATTTTTGTGTTGACATCCTGCAAGGAGATGAACTAGACTGTTAATAGTGGTTATTCCTTGGGCAAAATTATGGGGTAGATACTTTGGTATTTTTTTTTTTTAATTTTTAATTTTTTTTAAAGAATTTAACCTTTATCTCAGTTGTTGTTTTCTATGTGGTGCTGAGGATCCAACCCAGGGCCTCACTCACCAGTGCTAGAAAAGTGCTCTGCCGCTGAGCCACAACCCCAGCCCCCTTTGGTACTACTTTTAATGTATTGCTTTTATAGTAAAAAGAAGTCAATACAAAGATTTCTATTAACAAAAGAAATAAAAAGAATGTTATAAAGAAAAGTGATCATTATTGTTCTTAGGAGCTAATTACTTTGCCTCTCCCCTCTCTGTCCTCAACCTTATTGCTTTTCTGCTACTTAATGCTTATTTCAGCTACCCCCTCCCTAGATTTGACAGTAGGTACCACAGAAACATCAGATGCAAGTCCCACAGCTGTGAAGCTTCAAACCGTCCCAATTCAGGGCTGTAGAGCTCTGCAGGGCTGCTTTGTCCAGAGCACTTTCGTGTGTAACACATTCTAGTTTGCAAAAAGCAAAGTTCAGGAAAATATAAACCAGTATTTAGAATCATTTCAATAATTATACACTTTAACCATAATTAGCTGACTTCCTCTAATGAACTTACCAATACTGGGAATAAAACCACTCTTGGAAGTTCAGTTTCTGGAAGGTATAAGAATCTTGGTTATAGATATAAGTATTGATATAGAATACAGAAAAGAGGGTCGGAAAGTAGCTTTTTGGGCATCGTGTAGCACCGTGGAATGTTTGGGATTCCAGCCCACCTCAGTGCACTGATGAAGCACAGGTATTGTGCCCTGCTGGCCATCCTCCTCCATTCAGCCTCCAGCTCAGTCTCCACATGTTTCTGATTCAACGACAGTTCATTGTAATCATTTTCCAAGAGCCATTGAGATCCAAGAAACTTTTGCTTTTAAAAGCACACTTTTCAGGGAAGCTGTTCAACCCCAAACTAATTTGAAAAGCTCCAAGATTTAAGTCAGCACATGTGTCCAAACCACCAATTTTTCAAGTAAGCTCCATTCTTGGCAAATGACAGCCTCCCTCCTTAAGCTCCACACGGATACAGTGTAGCCATGAGATCCAGGAACGCTCTCTGAGAGATTCAAGGAAGGAATGTCATGCATCGTTTTTGGCCTCCCCTCACAAATATCTTAGAAAAAGTACAGACTACTCCTGAACTCTATCTTCCCCTCACTACTTTGTTCTCAAAAGTACTTTTTACCTTTCACATTACATCTCACAGGTTGGAATCAGGAGGTGGTAACCCTACAACCAGTGATTCTTATGGTGACCGAGCCTCAGCAAGAGCCCGTCGGGAAGCCCGGGAGGCTCGTCTAGCCAGCCTGACCAGCCGTGTGGAAGAGGACAGCAACAGGGATTATAAAAAAGTAAGGTCATTTTTCAATGTTCCTGTTCTTGGGTTACAACATATAAATAGCCTTTTCCCCCAGGATAGAAAAAGGAGCGCATTTGTGAGTAAGCAGGGAAAAGGACACTTAAGTAACAACTCCTTGCTTGCAGTCTTCTTTGTTTGCTTTACCTCTCCACCAGCTAAATAAAGACCCTTAAATTGTTTTTATTGCAGTAAGTTTTTGCCTAGAGTCAGATATTTACATATATGGGAAAAAGTATGAAAATAAGAATTGTAAGAATAAAAAATTATAGTTCTGTCTAAACCTGAGACTCATGTGGTAGACTTATTGTTAATAAACATGTGCTTTTAATAAGATCCTGTGAATATCAGCTAAATACTTCTTGGTGTTAGTTTTTTTTTAAAAAAAAACCCTCATCATTATCATCATTGTCTGGGCTTGGAAAGGATTCGAATCACTTTATAGTCCATTTCCTTTTGTCTTGCTACCTAGCTCCAGGAGTAGGCTTTGAAAACTTTCCCTTCAAGCACTTGAGGTACCAGGAAAAAACATTTTGGTTAAAGAAATTCTTCTTTGTTGATGTTTTTATTAAGTAGAACTCGACAGAAATCACCCTAGGCCAGTTACAAAACTAATCTCTTTGGTATGAGAAGCCACACTTTTAAGCAATGTCAGTACTACATAGGAGAAAACGGATGACTGGGGATTTTTCCCCCCAAGATTAACATTATTGAAATTGGAGCATCATTCTCTGTGTTCTGCATGTGAGATCATCACCTTCAAGAAGCCAGAGAGCAGTGGCTGTGAATGTGCCCTGATCCCCACACTTCATCATCTTCTGCCCCTAGGGTACTGTCTTGGCTTGGAGCAGAGAGCCCCAGACATTCTCATATGATCAAACTGTGTGGGTTCTGATTCTGGGAAGCCCCCCTAGTGACCTGACTCTGCTTCCCCCTCCCCAGCTCTACGAGAGTGCCCTGACTGAAAACCAAAAACTGAAAACCAAACTTCAGGAGGCCCAGCTAGAGCTAGCAGATATAAAATCCAAGCTTGAGAAGATGGCCCAGGTAAGGAGAAGAAGAATAAAGAAGATGGGGAGACAGGGATTGATATCAGCAGACAACCTGGACTAGGGATCTAAGGGGCAGGACATGAGATGGAGTCAAAATCAGGCCTCATCAGAGGCAGTGAAATGGAGTTCCCTTGGATTCTAATTTGAGTTGAGGATTCAGTCAGTGTTTAACTTAAAATTGAAAACTGATAGTTCAGTGAACAACTTCTGATGGTCTAAATGCTAATAATTAATTAATATTATCTAATTAGTTCTCAGTAGAAAAGCATAAACTAGCACAGCACAGTCAGTCCTAGACAGCTTCTTCTGTCTTGTTCCTCGTGTTTCAGTGCAGCTTATTTGCACATCACCTTTTGGAGAGGGATCTGCAAGACATTATACCCAAGTACAGAAAGGTAGCAAATTGGGCCTAGAAACAAGAGTGGCTTGCTTAGGTTATGTAGCACATCAGGGGAAGAAGAGCTGCTGGAACCCGGGATTAGGTCCTGATGTAAAGATTCCATCCTGCAACGATTCCTTCCTATCTCCCCAGGCTACACCCTCCTTCAGCTAGAAATAAAGAGCTGGTAGGCAGGAAGGCAAGGATATCCATTTCCTCTCACTGCTGGGCCTGATTTTATTAGATGATGCATTAGAGGATGGTAGAGGTAATGACCTCATCACTAGTGAAATAAACCCTGCAGCTGAGAGCTAGAGCAAGTACTGTCTTAGGTTACTGCAGAGTTAACCGGAAACCCAGATGCCTAGGGACTAAGAATTTGAAAAGCCAATCTGAGGTAAAAATGACTCTTTACAAGGAGAGCGTGAAATGAAAACCAGAGGTGGCTAGTCAATCTGGTAATTTGATATGATCCAAAAGTAAGACTAAAATATAGAGTTGAATAGTCCCAAACTGTGGGGTTTGGTGGGGACCGGGGTAGTCAAATACCCTCTGAACAGCATCCCTCTGGCATGGGATGAGCAAGAGGCACCAGCATGTAGAAGATAGTGCTACAAAACTGTGTGGGATCCCAGCAAGACAGCTAGGACAGCCACACTGACCAGAAAAGGGCTTAGCCAGGCTCAAAATAGTTGGCCTGTCCTGAGAGCTGCCTCTGTCAATTTGAAAAAGGCACTCCCTTCTGCCTGTGATAGTAGCCAAATACATCTCTTCCTGGGAATTTCTGAGACCTACTGCAACAGATAGATAACAACTGGACTTAACATGGTTTTGTGGAATAAGAAAGTAGGTCTCTAAATCTAAGAGGAAAAAATAAAATACAGATATACACAGTTACAACCCTGCCCCAAGGCAGGGTAAGCCTTAAGATATCTCTTCATCTCAGTACTACTGAGCCAGGCAAACATCTAATTTATGATAGATCCTTAGGAGATGTCTGGTCCAATTTTTATTCTGAATTGTGCCAAATATTGGCATCTGTCAATAAATACAGATCTGGTTCTTATCAGTTATTACTGGGCTGTATTTTATAGAAAAATAAGGAGCAGTCAGGACTGTGAAGAACCACAGGAAAAACCTAGTTTCACCTGCTGCACATTTTCTTCGGCAGAAGCTTCTGGCAGTTAGCTTGTTTCTTGACCTATTGGGTGGGGTTCACGGCCTTTCCCCCAGCCTTCGCTTCATAGCAATGAGCAGCCTAGCAAGCTGTGGACACTGACATGCATGGACATTAAAAATAAAATCAGCCTTTCCCAGTCACTGGGGAATAGCATTTACCCTCCAGCCAACTGCTTTGCTGGGTGTGTCAAAATATACTTAGTTTTGCCAAATATAAGTTATTGAAATTCAGAAGAAATGGTGGCACTACAAACCCTTTCTCTGTTTACCAAAAATGGAGTTGTTTGGTAGGACAGTGGGCGGGAGCCTGTCAGTCTCATACATTTACGTGGAGACAGTTACCACATGGACACGCACAGTGTTTTTACATGGAAGGTTCACCTGAACTCTATCAGGCTTGACATTTAAAACAAAACAAGCAAATAAAAAACTAGTTCTTTGTATACATGAATTTAAACATAGTTTCTCAGGCTTAGGAAAGGGAGACTTAATGAGGATCTGCACAAATCCCAGTTTCAACTTCTCTTTTCCTTCTGCACCCTTCCTACTGTAGATGCAGTATTAAGGCACATAGCCATGACCTTCAGAGCAGAAGGTGAAAGCCCAGGACAGGAGCCAGATTCCGAGGATTAATGTTAGTTCTGGCTATTCCTTAATTTTGGGGGGAAAGGGTAACCTCTGCCAGAAAACCAGCATAATTTCTATACTTATTGACTGTTGTCTGAGCCTGGCACAAGGCAAAATAAAAATGATCACCTTTACTTATTAAATATCTATAGAATGTAAGAAATTCTTCCCTGTTCTGTAATGCTAAGAAGGGTTCCTTTTTACTCCCTTATTTAAGGCAGGATTATTATCTGAGTTTATTCTACATTTTGGGTATGTAGCCACATCTTTTTAACCCTTCTAAAAACTATAACTTAAAGGTCAATGGTGATCTAAAATACATTCTAAATCCTTTATGCAGATAAAATATTAACTGAAAGTCCAGGGTATGCAACAGATAAAAATGGAAGTGCTGTGTTCAAAGCAGGGCTCCCAAGAAGTGTAAGCACACACAGAGACCAGTGCTCTGTAAGGAAAATGGCCTCAGTGCCTGTGAGACAGAAGGAATGGGAGAAGGGATTGTTTAGAGGAGAGCCATGGGGCCTTCAAGTTCAAGGATCTCCAGCCTTTTAAAGTAGAAAACCCATTTCTCATTTCCTCTGGATTATGATATTACTCATAAAAAAGAAGGGAGAGGGATAGTACAACATAAGAAGATAGTTGGCCCTGGAGACAGAGAGAAAGAGAACTAGGAGAGGAAGCTGGGTATGTGTTGAATAATGTCTTTGTACGATTGATTGATTGATTGATTGATTGATTGACTGATTGATTTTTGGTACTAGGGATTTAACCCAGAGGTACTTTACCACTGAGCTACATCCCTAGCCCTTTTTATGTTTTATTTTAAGGCAGAGTAACTTAGTAACTTAGTAAGTTGCTTAGGACCTTGATAGATTGCTAAGGCTGGCCTTAAACTTGCAATCCTCCTGCCTCAGCCTCCCAAGCTGCTGGGATTACAGGAATGTGCCTCCACACCCAGCACATGTGACTTCTGGAGTGTCACAATGCCTTATCCACCCCCCCAATCAGTGAGAATCCTGCAAACTTCAGAGACAAAATAATGTTAGGCTTAGTGATCTATCAGAATTTATTTTGTTGGGACACTTGCTAAAGTGAAAGCCCAAAGCCTGGCCATCTACTTCTGAGTGTCCAGTGGTGAAGATGAACGAGACTGGGTTTCCCCTGGCAAAAGAACTGAAGTAACAAGTGTTTTCTTTCCATCTGCTCAGCAGAAACAAGAAAAGACCTCTGACAGATCATCAATGCTAGAAATGGAGAAACGGGTACGTGCATGTCTCTTTTTCCCGTTTCATCTCTCTCTCTGACTTTCCCTAACTTTGTTGTTTGTGCCAGTGGAAAAAGTTCATCTTAAGAAGGTAGGAACTCTGCCACATTCCATTCCCAGCCTGATGAGAAATTCTTTTTGTCTGATTCTGGACAGTAATTTGATTGCTAGTCCTTTTGGCTTCCTCAGTACTTTGTACACATTCCAGTCTTAGGGTGGGAAGGGTTCTTGGAAGGTCATCTTGTTGTAGTTCTTCCAATAGGCACAACTACACACATACACATAGCCATAATATATTTTGGTTTACTGTAAATCATCATAAGCGTGCGTGCGCGCGCACACATACACACATACATATACAAGGGCTCTTTGCCCTTCTCATCACTTTAAAAAGAAAAGTTTTTAACAGGACCCTCTGCCATTGATTTAATTCATTTGACTTGAGACATGAACCATCAGAATCCCACTCTCTGGTTCAATTGCTGACCTCCTTCCAACTGCACTCAGCATATTTTTCTGGGATTTGACATTCTTGGATTGGGAAAACTCAATTAGATTTATTGATGAGCTCTAGTTTAGATTTGACCCTAGGGATATAATATGTTCCCATCTCTCCTGTTATTGTATGTTTAATTTGGAAAGCAGCTAAGTTTTATATTTCATTTCCTTGGCCTATAGCCAAACCTCCTTGGTATCTCATCTGATCAAGGACTCTCTGTTGCATTCAGGCTAAAATAAGAGTTAGTTGCTGGGAGAAAGAAAGGGAGGGAGACAGGAACTTGGAGTAGGGATGCTATTTCTTAGTAGACAGTGATGTCTACTTCCTTGCAAACCATCTCCCTGTCATGAGAGAAGCAGTTCCCTAAGATTTTGTTTGGGGGGCTTGGGATATTACTGAGGATAATGGTGGATTTTTGTTAATAGAAAGCAAGGATTCTGGCTACTTGCAATCATTTGAAAGTCCATGAAACCTTCCAACTTGCAGAGAATAACTCAGAGTGCCCTGGTCTGATCATCTGTAAGCAAGTTGCTTCCCTCTATGTCTTCTGATGTTTTGCAAGAAGAATTAGATCCTGGGATTTTGAGGTGGGGGGGTAACCAGGGATTGAACCCAGGGGCACTCAACCACTGAGCCACATCCCCAACCCTATTTTGCATTTTATTTAGAGATAGGGTCTCACTTATTTGCTTAGAGATCCTGGGATTCTTATCAGTGAAGTAGCTCATTCTACAGGGACAGGATGAAGGAGCGCTCACATCTGGGTAAGGTTTGTCTGAGTCAGTAGACAGACCCTTTACCATGAAGCTGCTGATCCCATAGCAGCTGGGAGGTGCGTCATGGCTGCCTGTAGGTCCATTACATGTTCAACAGTCTCCTTGTTTCTAAACAGGAGAGACGAGCCTTGGAGCGGAAAATGTCAGAAATGGAAGAAGAGATGAAGGTATGAAGAGATTTTTTTCTCTCTTTGTATGCCTGTTCTCTAAATGCCTGCCAAGACTGGATACTTAAGCATAGGCCTGCCCTCTCTGAAATTCACCACAAACTCCACACTCCCAGGAAGAGATGATATGTGAAGAGGAGGTTTCCCAGGCACTCTCAGCTCACATAGCATCTACTGTGGTCACCTCAGTGTCCACATATTGCCCTCAGTTTAAAGGGAAGTCTCTAGAAGACTGGAGGTAAACCCAAGTTGAACATGTAAGGTTTTCTGAGCAATGGCTTCACCCTTGAAAGGCTAAATAAAAAGACTAGTACACACGTTTCCAACTCTGCAGAGCTTACCATTAGGTATTCAGTGAAGCCTGTGTATGGCCACAGGCTTTCCTCCCTGCAGCGCCTCCCTAACCCAGCCCTTTGCAGGAAAGAACACAGATTGAGTCATTCTGTAGCAGAGTAAAAATTTATTCTGATATTGATTTCCTTCCCCAGTCCATTTCCTCTGCGGTGTTCCAGTGTGCTTGGCACTGTCCCACTAGAATAAGCTCATGCCACCAGATATACTTCAGGCTTGCTGTTTTCCTCTCAACCTTCACCATGACCTGAAGTGATATAGCCTCCACTGGGCACTTTACTGAACAGTTGCCATTCTTTGCAGCTTTGAATGCTAAGATTTGGTAATATTTTGAAAGGAATCAACTCACTACTATGGAAGGGGAAGATACAAAGCTGCTCAGGGTAGCCACCTGGATATGATTGTGGAGCATCCCATCCCCACAGTGGCCTTAATGCCACATGGCCACAATCACCTAGTGCTTGCTAAGCTTCTTTTCTTTCTTCAAGGATCTTATTGTGCTGCCGCCAAGTGTTCATTGGGTGAGACCCAGGTTTCATCAGCTAGGAAACAAGAATACTAATTCAGTTTCAGGCATATCCCTAAATTTCTTTCTGTGAATAGTAGGTATCCCTAATGTACAGTTAGAGCACCTTGAGAGACGCATTTATTGTTCCAAAGGCTTATGTTTAATTTTTGGGGTGTGGGGGCCTTTCAGGACATGACAAAGGCAATGGTTTTCCCAAGATCCATTTGCTTTTTTTTTTTTTTGGCACTACTGGGATTGAACCCAGGGGTGCTACATCCCCAACTCTCTTTTATTTTTTTTACATTTTGAGACAGGATCTTTCTAAGTTGTAGTTGCCCAGGTTTGCCTTGAATCTGTGATCCTCCTTTCTCAGCCTCCCAAGTTGCTGGGATTATAGGCATGTGCTTTGTTATATTGCATCCAGCTGTTACTCTTTATAATATATGGTTGATTCTCCTGAGATGATAGGACGATACCCTACCACTGTTAAACCTCTTCATCTTCTGCTTTTTCTAAACCCATCTCACATTCAGAACTATTCTCGCCCTCTTAGCGTGGCATGTGAGCATTGTAAATAGTCCCAGATGGATGGATCAGCATCTCTTGGTTGCATGGCGACTATTCCATCTTCGAAACCCTTGAGTTACACCGTTTGTACTTTGCTATTAGGTAGCTGTCCTGTCATTGATGCTCATTAAGAAATGGCTAAAAGAAAAAGGAAGGAAGGAAGGAAGGACCAAAATGCAGATCCTCATGTAAATGAAGCCAAAACTGGTGCCTCCCAGCAAGTACTGAGGAGCCCAGAACCAACCTATACCCACCAGTCCTGAAACTCTTGAGTTGTCTCCACACAGGACCCCACACAAAGACCCAGAAAGTGGCCAAAAGTGGATAACTTGAGATCATTTCCTATTTCTGTTCCCATTCTAAAATGGAGAATACAGAAGTCCTCCTGTGTTCTAGTTGCTATCGATCCTGTGGTTGAGACAAATTTACATGTTTCTCTCTCTCTTTATCCTGTCAGACCATGATTTCCTAAAGTAAGTCATGAGTTCTTTTCTTTTCTCAATAGAGTTTATTGTACATGAACGTGTTTGCTCTCTCTAGTTAGAAGCCATTTGCCAACAACTTTAAAAATCAATTTGTTTACATTATCAACTGGAGCCAGATCATGATGGTTTTGGCCCCCAAACCAGTAGATAAGCTGTTTTAAGATTGGTTTTTATTTTGGGTCTTTTTTTTTTTTTTTTTTTTTCAGTTAAAAATATACCCCCACAGTCATTGCCTTTTTTTCTCCATTCCTAATTACAAAGTTGTGGAGAATAAATGCCTATAGGCTCCAAAGCCCTTAAACAGTTTGCTCAAATCATATAGTACTACCAGATTTACAAACTGTCCAGCTCCCCCTAGAGGACTAAGGGGGAGGAACGTCAGAGCCTCCAGTCACACCAACATTGCATTGGTGTCTATACCTTCTTTGAAAACAAAAACTTCAAATATACAAATATAAATGTTATCAAATTAATATCACTGCTCTGTAGGAATCAAAGAAAATCCTTGTTCAGCTCCAAGTTCTCTATTCAGGCTATTTTTCATTGTGACCAACTTTTCTAGAGTAGTTAGTGGACAAAATTTGTGTGTATTAGGTAGCCAGCCAACAGTGCATGCAACCATCGTGTGGGACCCAGTAGAGGCTGGACCTGTTGGTCTCCATATTTTTGCATATTTGTACAGATGCTCAAATCTCCCTGGTGCAATCAGTAGGGAGCAGTTTATGCGGCTGACCTCCAGTGAACCATTAAAGAGGAAGTGTTCAAGGACACAGAGTAATTTTGGTGTCTATTTTTCTGACTCTAGCAAGTAAAATACAAAGGCCAGGTGAAACGGGAACCATGAGATTGGCTCACCCAGATGTAGGTGGGCTCTGTAGTTGTGAGTTGGGTTGTGCCCCTCTGGCCTTTACCTAGAAAGGTAAGTATTCATAAATTCTCCCCAGGAGAAACCCCACCCAGATCCTGGGCTGGAGCAGGATTACATGCCAGCTTCTGACAGACATGTATGTCAGTGTAAGCTGTGCTAGACTTGCACTTGGTCCTGGGATGTTCCCTCACCTGATCTCATTACTTTTCTACTGCATCCTTCATTCAGCATCAGCCTCCTTGCTAGACCTTCTGCCCTTCTTTTCCCAGGTCCTTGCATGACAGAGGCCCATCAACCAATCTCCTTTTAGATTGGTCCTGGGATTTTTACTTTGCTTATTTTGGAAACATCACTCGCCGACTTCAGCTGTGCCCTTGTCCACTCTGCTCTATGCCCTGCACTCTTCCCCATCTTCTTGCCATGTTCTATAGAACATGCTTTCTATAGACCGCTTTCTATAGAACATTCCACCAGTGTTTCCTGCTTCTCTCACGCTACTAACTTGCAAATTCTTCTACTTCAGTCTGCTTGTATTCACATGTTAGATTGAGTCACCTTCATAGTTCATGTCTTTAATATTCTCTGGGAGGCAAGGACCACTTCATATAATGCTAATGATTGTGTTGAAAGCTTGGTCCAATGTCAACACCAGTGAAGGGTGAGAGCCAGGGACTTTCCATTGGTTCTTAAATTTGGTCCCTGCCCATCTCTTTAAACTTTTCCATGTGCTGCACCATGATCTCCCTCCTCTGTCCCCTTCATGACTGAGATGCTTACAGTGGGCAAAGAGGGTTGCCCAGTCCCTCCTGTCCAGTGGCTCCATGGAATTGCTTGGCTACCCTACCTCTTTGCAAGATGGTTATTCTCCCTTTGGGGGGAAAGGGATATTCATTGATTTGTCTCTGCTTGTTTTTCCTTTTCACTGTTTTTCCCCTCATACTACCTTTCATTTTCTGCTTTACTCCCAAACTTTTACTCCACTAATCTTTCATTTCTGTCCTCCTCATTGTGTGGGTATGGGAAACATTTCTCTAATACCCGGTGATCTTTTTGTCATCATTGTAACCCAGAATTGTCTGTCCTCATCCATGAAACTCCATTTGCATAACAAAGTCATTCCCCTCCTCCCCAAAAGCTGATGGCCTCAGTTTCAGGGTCAGTGCAAATGATCACTTAGGAAGGACGTGGAGCAGAGTAGGCAGGCCCGTGATATAGTCTCATTTATTGAAGTCTTTAAGTCCTTACAGGGTTTTAAGAAAAATACCCATGGGCTGGTTGTTCTATTCCATTTACAACACTGACAGACAGTAAGGGCTGAAATTGGCCCAGCCACTTCCATTATCATTTGGACATTTATGATTTCTCCACTTTTATGTGCGGAAACTTCCAGTGTACGACTCTTTTTGTGAACACCTTTAAGCAGCTCCCAGCCTCAGCATTAACTCGGACAGAGGGAACACAGTTAGCTATGAACTTAGTGATGCATATAATCATATATCAGGTCAGAGGAAGGTCAGCAGCTCTGGGATCCTAAAATGCAGAGGAGAACTAGCAAGGCCAAGGAAGCTTCCTCCAAAGCAGGTTAGAGCTGTGACAGTTGTTTATTATTTCACTATTTGTCATTTCATCCTGCTAAACAGTACATGCCATATGCAGAAAGCGGTTCAATAACAGACCCCTCTCTTGTTTTCCTTGTTTTGTTTTTTAAAATTAAAAAGAAAAATGAAGTAAGGAAAGAAAACAAATGGGAAGTATGGAGAGAAGATGAGATGAGAGAGAAAGAAAAGGGCAGCAGCTGGATTTAGGAACACACCAAGTCCTTAGTTTGACAGTGACATGGAGGGTCCCTGAGGCTGTGGCTCAGCCTATGAATTTGGTTCAGAAGGCCCCAAGCTACTTGGTAGACTGTCATTCTCAAAAGTGATCCAGATATGCATTTGAAGTGTCCGGTTGTATCCATATGGCCAACCATCAGCACACTTAGGCCTCAGCCAAGAATCGCAGACATAGCTCTCCCCTCTCTGGTGCTTTTCTCCACCCTCCCTCAACCAACATACATGATTTGCTCTCATTGCTCCTGCCTCTCTCATTTCCTTTCTAGCATGAAAACTAAAAACAAAAACAAAAAGTCACATGGTTTCTTTGTCCTACTTTTTTCTCCTCTGGTCTGTCTTGTCTCTTTCTGTCTTGTCTGTCTTTCCCCTCCGTGTCTCACTCTCTG